CCCCAACCCCACCTGTGGCTCTTAGGCTCATTTCATGTGTGTCTTCTTGCAGTCTGGGTCTGATCATCACCATCCAAGTATTGCAACTTGAAGTTATTCTAGTCTTTGCAGAGATTCAATATTTCTGTCTGCAGAAGCACATTGCCTCAATGATGGGTGATACAGTGATCAGGCCAACTGATAAAACTGAATATAAGGCTGACAAAATAGCTGTTAAACAAGCAGGTGTCTGTCACTGAGGGAGGCTCCGAAATTCTGGTTTTATCCACCCAAAATGGTTACATTCGCTCTTATCAGGGAATTGGTGGTTGGTTTCCATTTGGTTGCAATTTGCATCTAGTTGGCAGCATGCAGGTGGAAAGAAGCCAAGTTTTCTATCATGATGACAGTTTGGTAACAGATGTCTAATGTTTCCCAACACATTTAGCTCATGTGATAGGAATTGTGAGCTAGTTTAGTAAAGCTGAGCAGTTGGGTAATTGCAAACCTTTGGCCCTCACATTTTCTCATTTATCCTTTTTAGCTGCCTAGGTAGGATGATTTTTTTTAAAATTTTTTTTTTTGTATTCATAGTTTTGGGAGGAAAAGCTTGAAATATGTTTCAGAGTACTCATCGTCCTAGGTGGCAATCACTCATTTAAATGGTTGGAAACCTCCAGCAGTACAAGAAGCTACATGTTTTCCTCTCCTGTTCTGCGTAACTGGCATTGCCCAAGTGCGTGGGCTGTGGCTCCTGTGCTGCTGTTTCAGAGTAACGGGACATGTGGACGATGGTATTTACTCCTGATCTCCTTGGTTACACTGGTTTCTTGCACGTGATGTCTGTCCATGCCGAAGAGGAGGCTGAATCAAAACATTTTAATTAGCAGCTCCTTAGGAGTATGTATTTTATGTGGAGGGAGAGAAAGAAGTGGTGGTCCCAAGCCCCAACTCTTCTGTAGGAGGGCACTGATACTCATTAGGGCAAGATCATTATAGAAAGCCAGTCATTTGACTGAGATTTCAGTAGCTACCTCTGTCATTCAGATTTGCAAGAAACCTTGGAGAAGAGCTTGAGAGATTCTGCAGGATGCTCGTGTTTGTTTGACCTAGATCTGAAGATCTCCTCTTCTGTGCTGTTTTCTGATATCCCCTATGGAGAAGCTACCTCTCCTGTTAGCTACAGGAGTGGACTATAAGCTTGGTTTGGTAGGGTAGGTGACAAAACCCAGTTTCAATAAGCAAAAAAGTCCCATTAATAGTGCATTGGGAGTTGATACCTGGCCTCCCTCAAGCTCTTGTGAAAATTGCAGCCTTAATTTTAAAAGCTCTTTGTTAAAGAACAGACTTTTTGTTGTTTCTCCCTATTTGGACCACACATTCTCTGTATCTTTTGGTTTTGTGCACTTCCAGCTATGATTTTCTGGGCATTTTGGCCTGTGAAAGCCAGGGCAAGAAGCACAATTACCAAAGTATCCAGAGAAGGGCTCTTTCTTAATTACGTCTAATTCAACTAGAGTCAGAAAAACCCAGAAATCTCAGCATAGAAAGTTTGAGCCTTGCATCTACGTAGCTCCAGAATGTCACGGAACATGACTGTGATGCTGATCAGCATTCATGCCTCCAAAGCTTGCCTGAGTTGTCTTCCCAATACACCTCTTCTCTATTAATTTAGGAACTTAAACCACCAGAGGTCAAAAAATCATTTTCTTGTTTGAAAGGTCTCAAAGCACCAGCATACGGCTGTGTATTTAGACTATAACTGCCTTTCTCATTAGTCTGCTACGTACCGGTTGGGAAGAGGCTGTGGCATCTGCAAAGTGGTACCCAGAAGAAACACACCCTGACCTGGCACGTGTATTTTTCCCACAGAATGCCGACTTATTTCCACATTATCTTGCGCAAGTGTGGTCAAACTGTCTCTGCCATTCATCCCAGCTCTGTTATATTCCCAGGGGATATTCCAAGCATCCTTCCCAGTATCTTGAGCGTAGCAGATTTCTTCAACCTGCTGCAGAATAGAACATTTTCCTACAGACACACCAACATTAAATTTTAAACTTCTGTGTGTCTTTGCACTGCCTTCCCAAGGCCTTGAAAAGGTCCCTTTTCTTTTGGAGGTGATAAACTAAGATGTCACATATGTTTTTCACTATAATTTTGTCAAGCGAGGAGCACACTGCAAAACCTTGGGAGTTTCTGTTTACGGAGTGGCACGCTGAAATTAAGGAAGTTGGAGGACAGGAGCTGAATTCATATCTAAATTTCAGGATGAGAATTACACCCCTATTTCTGATTTAGGAGATGGCTTGGGAATATGTGCATTTTGATATTTTTATTTAAGTGACTGAAGAGATTTATTCTTAAGTTTTGCAGGGCTGAAGTGTGTAACTCCTGTTAGTTTATAGGACTTTGACTTGAAAGTGGACTTTGACCTTCATAGCTGGGAATAAAACAGAATTCAGATGTGACTCTTGTTACTAAGCATGTGAAGGGATTGCTTGATTGATTCTACACGTGTTTTGGTTTTGCTGTATATTTTTGGAATTTCTTTTGGGTTTTGGATGCCTGTTGCACAGTATGTAGAAAACTGCATCCAATTTGTTTTATATGCTTCATTGCACTTGTATGTACTAACTACACATAAGCAGTCTGTCAAAGAGAATTAGCCAAGAGATTTCAAAAAGCAATCTCAATAATGCTGCAAGCACATTTTTTAAGCAAAATAATAAATGAACACATTTTTTTACTTCAAAAGCTATCAGCAGAGCTTTCGGCTTCTGCGACTCAACACACAAAATGATGAAGAAATTGGGACTGGAGTGGAAGATCCCATCTCCCATGAAACCAGGGGATTTTTGGAAGAATTGGTGGAATTTGCAAGGACTAGGACTAGCATCCTGCTTGCCTTGCCAGCACCGTGCCATGTCTTAACCTAGTTTTTGTCCTCTCATATTGCATGATGTGAACTATACATCTCTTTTGTAGGAATTGGCCGGCTTTCAGGATAAGAGGTATTATAGGGAAAAAAACATTTCCCCTCTCTGTTCCATATGTTTTTGGAGACCTTAACCCTTCTGACACACTGCTGTTTGGAATCTTTCATCCCCTGCTTGCTCAGCATTGAGAAATCCTCACCAGTTGCCCAGGGGAGAAGATGTGGTAGGTGGTCCCCTGCCTCCCTGGGAGCACAAGATGCCTTCCTGCCGCTCCCAAGCCTTGGGCAAAGGTAACGCAGGGCCTCTTGACCTGAAGTTTTGCATCCGTTGAAGGGAAATTTTCCATGCTGGGATTTCAACTTCCTAGCAATTATAAATCATTAAGGGTATTTAACTGGTCTATACATTTACACGAAAATTAGCCCCATCTCATTGCTCTGTCATCTCTAAGATGATGCTGTGATATAGAAGGGAACGTATAAATACGTCTTTCCTTTAGCAAAGGTTTTTTACTGACAGCTTTAGTATGCACCTCATGATGAGTCTAAAGCGATCAATAAGCAGCTGTGTCACACAAGGTTATCCCAAGTTCAAAGCAGGCTCGGTACTGATTGGTTTCCAAAATCGGATGCATCAGGCTGCTGTGGTCACAGGAGCAAGGTCACCAAGAGGATCTGGTGACAGGATAAATAATAAAGCAGAGCTTAAGTAATTTGTCGACGGCACCCCCGAGATAAAATTGCACTTTATTGCATTGGATTTGGGGCTTGATGATGTGACCTTTCACCTTTTTTGACACCTCTTCTTATTTTTCTCCCCCAATGTCATTGCAGTTTTAAATAGACTAAAGAAGGTGGTTTGAAGGGAATAAGTCAGTAAGTCAATTCCATCCCATTATTGAATTAGAGACAGGCGTGACGGACAAGGTACATTAAAAAGATAGACAGGTGGATACATATATATGATCGTGGCTAACACTATGATGTTTTATCATTACGCTATTGTTATTATGCAGAAATGAAGCATCCAGGTGAAATAGCAGACTATGGTCTGTTAATTGCAAGATATTATGGCTAAAAATTAAGCACTGAAAACCAAGCCAACTCCCCCTTTACACCCTCCATGCCTCTCTCCATAATCCCGTCAATGCTCTTTTCCCATACAAGTCTGTGTCACCAGCAGCCAAAGGTTGTACACGCACGGGGACTTCTCCGGCAGCTGAATGTCAAACTATATTGAGTGGGTGGATCCTGTTCATCCATTTCCCCTCCGAGCCTTTCTAAAAATACCATAAACCTTGACAAGGAGCTATTTTAGAGGAATCGTATTCATGAGGATAGTCATGGGAAGCTTATTTTGGCAGGCTTGCATGTGTTCAATTTGCATGCTTCCTTAGTCAAGGGCTTGGTGAACTTGTGTTGCGAGCCAGTTGGACATGGGCTTAAGAGAGAGCATCTGGATTTTGGGACCTCCTGGGTTGGGACGTCTACTCCAAGTGAGTTTATAGGAGGAAAAGAAGTGAAGATATTCTTACAGGAATGTTGATATGTGACTGAAGTCATTCATTTCAGGCATTTGCACACCAGCCCGCAGCTTATCGGATCTGATTTCATAAAACCTGGCTGTGATTTCTCTCCAGGGACCTTAATGATCTTGCCACTTTCAATAAACATTTATAGAAACTACTGCCAGCCTGTGGATAAGAGAAACTCCTGTGAGAGACTTTATCTTCCAAAAATACTTAAAGACACTAAAAAAAAAACACCCACAAGAAGATCAATAGAAAATGTCAAAATGTAGCATTTGCTGGGTAGCTGGAGCTGAATTGCAGTACCAGACATTTGTATTGTAGGCATGCAGTAGGTACGTTTGCTTTTGTCACTTGGAAAACTGTGCACATCGGAGCGATGCTATAATTGGGACCAGCAACGATGAATGTGAATGAAAGCAAACTGTAAGAGATAAGATGGAAATTAAGCAGGTAAAGGCTGTTCCACGCTCATGCCATTCGGGTATGGTATTGCGCAGTACTCATGTTTGCACCTCTAAGAAATTTCCGTTTTTTCGCATAAAAAAATCCAGATACGAAGCCGAAGCTGCCTTCTTCGCCAACCTGAAACTGTCTGATTTCAACATCATTGACACCCTTGGAGTCGGAGGGTTTGGACGAGTTGAGCTGGTAGGTAACCTTTTCTTCTTTGAAGTTTGTGTGATATCCTAGAATAAGTACTGTGTTACAAGTCTTTTAATTTTTCTTTGTTATTACACCCGAATAACTGGAAGAAAATTATGTGGTGGGATTACATATTTTCTAATGGTTGAAGAAAGCTGAATTACATTTCCTGGTAAATAAAAAGGTAGGAATGAATGCTTTGCAGTAACCAAGAAGAATTTATGTACTAGGTTGAGAGAGGAGCACACGTCTTCTCTCTCCAAGTGGTCCTATGTTTATGGCATTGATCACCTTTTAAAAACAAGCTGAAGAATTGTGTGGCTGTTGAGTGCTAAGATTGAAAGAGCAATCTAAAATCTTACTTAACCAAAACTGGAGTAACAGTACGATGTCTTCTCTAAGCAGTTTCTAATTCAGGTCTAGAGATAGTGCTGCTTGGTTATCATGAAAGCTGTACATTCAATGTCTGAACTATGACAACACTTCACAGAAAACTACTTATTTTTTGCAGAGTTTTAGAGAAAGGACAAAATCTGAGCTTGCTTTTTGCTCTGCTTGGATTTAGAGCTCTGCAGTCTTTATTAAAACAAAGCCTGAGCGGGAGGAGACTGAAATGGCAGCCGTTGCATGACTCGTTTATAATATAAGTTTTTGTATTTACATGATAACAGAAAGAGGGAGTTTAGTTTACGTCACAGTGCTGACCACTGAGGAGCCTCTGATACTGGACACCAGTACAGTATGTTAGGAACTTCTGTATGTTAGGGGCAGAAAAAGGAACAGAGTTACTGCTGCCAGCACGAATTTTGGGGAAATCCCCACTCTGTAACCTTGTGGGAGCTAAACGCACCCATAGTGCTGGGAATTAGAAAACCAGCAAAATGAAGTGTTGTGGTGATTAGTTGTGATGTAACGGGTAAAATCTGTGTTAGAAGTGCAACTCGCTCTTCCATGTGATTTATTTCTGACTTTTCCTGTTCGGATGTATGTAAAATCATGCAGAGGAGAGCATGTCCATGAGAACAGTGGTCCATTCATGGGGTTTGGATTCATTATTTATTTACTTGTTTGTCTGATATTAGCAACTGTTGTTTTGGAAGAGAGTTACAGGAGCTCACCCATAGCCTGGGAAGGCTCTCCTTTTCCCACTCCTTCTATAGTCATCTGCTGTTGAGGGTGCTTTAGAGCAGGAGTTGAATTTGCGTCACACTCAACCTCCCTTTGGAAGGCCCTTCACCCTCAGTTGACAACAGCATAAAGCTCAGGAGATTTGTCTCCTAAATTAACATCACCGCTTGCTTCTCTGCCGGAGGTGACCTGTAGTGAGGGACCCACCAGTTTGGGGCTTGTCTTGAATCTTGTGAAGGAGCTTATGAGGTTTGTTTTCATTGTTAAGCCTTTTTTGACACATGCTTTCAAGATGTTTGAAAACCTCAAGATGTTCCTGGGAAGGTGTGTGACTTTGTCTTCATGAGGTATTGCTTATGGAACCCTCAAACCACACAGATATGGAAGCAAATCAGACTGTTATTGATGGCCGTGGCCCAGTCCTCTACCTCTAGATGCTTACAGAATTAATTTGGAAGCTTTAAGATACCGATGTCTTGAAATCTTAGCGAAGCATGACACTTGGCCAGGTGTGAGGAAGAGCAGGAGTGGACATGTTCTGTCCCTTCAACGTATCAGATCACAGTCAGGTAGAGATATTTAATTCTTAGGAGGTGTCCAAATCTCAGAAGCCTTCAAGAAGCCTTGGTGCCACCTACGCAGCCACAGATGGGAGGAACGTTTCCATCACCTCGTAGGGGTTTTCTTCAGCAGTGGGTTTAACACACTGCCCCTGCTCTCCTAAGCAGGGAAATGCTGGTTAAGGTCATTTTCTGTAGTTCTTAAATAATGCTGAATTACACATAGAAGGATAAAAGATATCTAAAAGTTTAGCTTAACACTCCGGATTTTATTATTTTTGTTATTAAAACAAGAAAATACACTTTTTGTCAAAACTGAGCCTAGAATTGCTACATCTTGTTTCATGATCTTCTATCTTCTCCATGAAAATTATGTTTTATAATTTAAGGCTAAAAAATTAACTAATGCAAAACATGTCAGAGGAATTGACTCTTTTATTGCCTGAGTGTGTTACAGTAGCTCGTAGCAGCACTGGAATTTGTTCCTGGAAGACATTCACATTTTTGCACTTTCCAAGAGTAAAATTGATCAAACAAAGTACATTGCAAGGAAGGGGATTTTTATAGCTTAACCTTGGCCACTGTGGGCAAGCCCCCCCAGGGCATCTCAGTACCCTTCAGGAGGGCAACTGGTGGTGTCTGGTTGGAAACTGGAATGTCTAGGGCTTAGTTTGTGTCTTGCTGGCCAAGAAGGAATAACGCTGCCATTGGTCTGCGTTTTAATTTCCAGATGTGGTTTATATCAATATAGGCTGGTTTTCCAGACACCTCTGTGAATGCTGGCTGTTTGGAGAGGTCAGCCCTTCAATGCATTCATACACAAGTACCTGGCTTTTAGGCGAGACAGCCTAAAATTTAAATTATTTTCAATTCTATGGAGATTACGTGTGGAAATATCTTTTTGTCTTGCTTTTCTAGGTAGTTTTATTTTTTATATGTCAAGAGACATTTCCAACAGATTTGCATTGGTGTTGTACATCATTTGCTCAGGTTTTTGATGCCTCTTGCAACATGCCTTGTCCTTATGGATGCTGTTCTCCTTCTTCATCCCCAACTGAACTATGTAATCAACTTTTATCCAGGCTTCTCTCAAGGGGAGAAGCCAGCTGAGTAGTGGCTGTGCTATTTTAGATGGGCATCAGCTCTGCCACTGGAGCAAGAGCAAATAAAGACTTTTGTTCACTTACAGCAGGACCTGTGTGATCCTCAGTGTTTGAAAAGCAAACAGGCGGGTTGGAGAGACCACAGTCTGCCCAGGGCTGGCGGTGCCACATTCCTAGGACAACCCTCCCACATTTCAGAGGGCTGCCAAGTAGATGCAAGCTGCTCTGGGACACGGCTTGCCCAGCCGGTGCCCTTAGCAGGGCAGAAGGAAAACAGTAGGAGTGACTTCTTGGTTTTTAATAGCACAGATTAGCAGATGCATCCACTATTTTTTGCAACTCAGCTTCTCAGTACTGTGCCAGTTGAGCCTCTTCTGTGTTGGGATCCAGATGCCTCAATAATACGTTGGAGCAGGGAATGTCATCTCGGGTTCATGTCCCACAAAGCATCACTTTGCAGAGAGCAGGGATGTAGGTCAGGTGTCTTCAGCCTTCATAATTCATCTCTCCTGAACTTTATTGCTCTTGTCTTTGTTCTTTAATTTCCTTTCAATTTAAGTCCTGTGTTTCTAATCATCTGCCCCAGGTCAGTTGTTTTGGATTTAAATCAAGATTATTTTAGACAGCTCTGAAATAAATGTATTGGAGTATCTGAACACAGGGGGTTAGAGTCATTATTGCTGTGAAATCAGTTCATGCAGGTGATGGCTGAGCACAGGTTTTACAGGCTGAGCACTAAAAATCAGGTCCACGCCTCAACACGTGCCTTTTTGTTATATTGGTTTACGCTGTTATCGCTTCCAACAATCACTCAGCAATGGGAGAAGGAGATTTTAAATCACTCTTCTTGTTATAAAATTGCAAAAATAATATATTTTCTCCACACCCCATCGCAAGCTTGATTGAGACTTGGTTTTAGCTACATCTTTGTTCACTTCTCAGGAGAGATACACCAGTGAAAACCTACAGACTTACCTGCTGTCCTTGCATGTATGCAAGCTTGGAGGGAGCTGTGCCTTCTGCACTCCTACGGGTAACATATGGCTTGGGACATGCTGAAGGCAGCAGGCAATAGGCAGATTAAGGACAGTCTCATTTTTTAGCCCTGCCTTGACAAAACATTTAATCATATCTTCTAACGTTGAGCAGTTTTGCAGAAGTCGGTGGCACTTAGAGCATGTATTTCAACCATAAGGTCATTAAACCTTGGACTGGAAGGGACCTAAAGAGGTCGTCATCAAGGCAGAGTCAAATATACCTAACCACTTCTGTCCAGTTTTCCCTAATTTGTTGTTGAAGTCTTTGGGGAAGGAGATTCCCAGGAAGGTTTTTCCTAATATTTAACAACTCCCTGCTGTAGCCGGTAGTAGGCTTGAAATACAAATACATACAGTCCTTAAGGTTGGGTTGTATGTATTTGAAGACCTGTAGTTGTTTAACCCCAGCCAGCAATTAAGCACCACACAGCCGCTCACTCACTCCCCCTCCCACGCAGTGGGATAGGGGAGAGAATTGGAAGGAAAAAGGTAAAACTCGTAGGTTGAGATAAGAACAATTTAATAGAACAGATAGGAAGAAACTAATGATGATAATAATAACAATAAGAAAATGGCAGTAATAATAAAAATTTTGAATATACAAAACAAGTGATGCACAACACAATTGCTCACCACTCGCCAACCAGTGCCCAGTCAGTTCCCAAGCAGCGATCCCCCCCCAGGCCAACTCCCCCCAGTTTGTATACTGGGCATGACATCACATGGTATGGAATACCCCGTTGGCCAGTTTGGGTCAGCTGCCCTGGCTGTGCCCCCTCCCAACTTCTTGTGCCCCTCCAGCCTTCTTGCTGGCTGGGCATGAGAAGCTGAAAAATCCTTGACTTAGTCTAAACATTACTTAGCGACAACTGAAAACATCAGGGTGTTATCAACACTGTTCTCATACTAAATCCAAACCACAACACTATACCAGCTACTAGACAGAAAATTAACAAAACCAGGACAAGACCATTACCATGTGAACCTAAAGAACTCTTTTCTTTAAAAAAATAAATGTGCTTCTTTTGAGCTTTACATCGAATCCATGCTTTCTAGGCCTGTGATCCTTCTTGTTCCTCAGGCTCCAGCTGGCTCCTACCTCTTTGGAGCAATGCCCAAAGCAGACACGTTAGTCCAACCTGGACCTTCCTCTGTTCAGGTAGAGCTGGACAACTAGG